TTTATTTTTTGTGCATTTATTAACAGTTTTGCTTAATTTGTTTATTTTGTTTTTATCAATCGATTATCTCGCTAAATATTAAATACTGAACTGTGACTGGTCTTTGCTTGCATACACCACAAATGTATTTATTTAATAAAGCATGCAATAAAAGTGTTAAAATGCTATTTGAATATTTAAAGGTGCATATGTAAGTTTGACACCCAGTGGTTAAACTAGGTATTGCACTCCTGGTCCAAAACACACGGGTCGCCAGATTGAAACCAACAGCAGTGTGCCTGACTATTGAGCCTAAAGGCTGATTTAAACCGTGTTCTAAATAAAAGCAACAGCACGCGATAGGAGTATTTTCCATATTAAAAGGAGTTTTTTTTTTTTTTCTGACCAACACCTCAAACTTATTTTTAAAATGGCTTCTATTTCATGCATCTAAACAACAGAAAACTGACAATGATCACCTCAAATTCACCTTAGAGCTGCACAATTAATCAAAAAAAGATTGCAATCTCTATTCAATCCCCTAGACGATCTTAATCCAGCATTTCTACGATTCTGTCAATCATATTTTCACGTTCAGGAGAGAAGAAAAGGCGGCTGCATGAGTCTTTTCATTGTTTCACATACATTGCTCGGTGACATGGACACCTCTAAATGATGTTGAATGAGTCACATACTGTACCTATAAGGTATAATTCATCTACAAATGTCAGTGAGCTGTTACCACAAAGTTGAAGCACTCTACTTATTGATAAACGCGCGCGCGTCTACTTAAGTGAACAGAAGCTGCATATATTGTGAGTAACGGGTAATACAGTATTAAATAATGTTCAGTTTGTGGCACAGAGTGATCGTTTGGGAGCCGCGTGGGAAGTATGAACAAGCACTTATCAGTCAAAATGAAATGGAAAGTGTGCACTTCATTTAAATTATCATATCGCGTTTTAGAGTTTTGATTACAACAAGCATTTGACATGTTTTTTTTTTTTTCATAGTGAACAGAGTTGTGCATGAAAATAAATGTTTACAGTGTCAGTATTACTACTCTAGCCTATATATTGTTGAATATAATCTGATAATGACAAATGTCTGATTCTACCAGTGAATAAAATTGTCTAATAATGTTGTCAATGACAGATTGCAAGCATATGTCTCAAACATAATAATTCAACATCAGAATTATTATAAGTAGAAAATAATTATTCATAGAAACCAGTAGACCTACATATAATATTATTATCGATGCTGTGCCATATGTTTGTTTTTACCATAGCTTTATTTTACATCTACAGAATCGTGAGAAAATCTTAATCTTTATTTTAAGCAAAAAAATTTCGATTCTCATTTTAGCCAGAATCGTGCAGTTTAAATGCCATTTGACATGACATTTATTACCATACTACTAAAAACAGCAGTAGATAGTTTACCTCAGATCTTAAAAATAAATAAAACCGTTTGAAATTAAACTTTAGAACTGTGACTCAGTCCAAGCTAACACATATCAGTGATTCACTTTGTACACATAATACATTTTAAAGAGGTTTAATATTTATTAATTAGATTATAAACCCTACGATTTTGTTGGAGTGCAGTGAGTGCACATATACTGTAATATGTGCTGTATTTAAATTCTTTCATCTGGTGCAAACAGCCCAATTGCTTATCACTGCAAATCTTTTCACATAGCGTGCTGTTAGGACACAGGGTTACAATGTAACCTGCACACCTAATGTTTATGTTTGCAATATTTATATTATTTGCTATTTAACAACCATCTCATGTGAAACTCTGTGTCTACTTTCCTCCGGAGGTCACATTTTCGATCACAGACGCATACTTTGACAGCCTTCCCAACTGAATAAATCAAATACGCTGTTTTCCACAAAAACAACCCAGGGTGCTGAAAATAATTGGCTAAATTTTCATTGGGGGTTAAAAAAGCAAAATTAAAAACAGCTGTTACAGAACGTAACACACATTTTCGAAGTAGAATATCTGACTTCAGCATTGTTTTTCAATTAAACAAGAATGTTCCCTTAGCATGTTTCCTAAATATCTGCAAATATATTATGGTATTTTAATGCTTTAGAAGAGTCAAAAACTTACATACAGCACCTTTGCATAAGTATATTTTTCTTTTTTTTTTTTTGTATTTTAGAATGTAAATTATTCCTACGATACCAGTGCTGAATTGTATCTTCATTACTCAGTCGTCAGTGTCACATGGTTCTTCAGAAATCATTCTAATAGTTTAATTTTTACGGTTCAAGAAATATACATTTTTATAATCAATGTTAAAAGTCATTCTGCTGCTTAATGGTTTTAAAGGAAATCAATTTTTTTTTTCTGTTTTCTTTAATGGCTGAAAACTTCAGAAACAGTATTTGAAATAGAAATCTTTTGTAACATTATAAATCGTCACTTTGGAACTATAAGGTTCTATGTGTCTAGGTGTTCTGAATGATTTTGAGATGTTGAGCTTCAAAGTTTTTGCATTCCATATAGCAAACTGTATGTGTGTAACATTTGTTTTTTTAAATAAAAAGTAAACAACTTAAAATGTAAACAACTTATAAAAATCATCTCATAATGTAAATAAGTTGTCATTTAAAAAGAATATGTCAATAACTCAATTTTAACAACAATGTCAGATAGCACCGTATAATTCTTTGGTGACGATTCTTTGGTCAATTTTTTTAAATATGGAAGTCACAATTATGTCACAATGTCTATATAGAGAACATAGGTTGTAATAATTTTTTTATTTGATAGCATATGTTTAGCTCTTACACCACTGAATATCAACCGTAATTTCTAGCAGGCTGTTATTGCTGTTATTCTTGAAGTGCAAAATGTGCCATTACACTGGCAGCTTTTAAAATAAAAAAAGGAAGATAATGAGCAGTTTATTTCCAGACTTCTTTTGCATAATAAGCTACTAATCATACTGGGTTGCGACTTTTGGCCTCATTCATGTGCTCTTAGTTCACATTATACAGTATGTGTGTGGGCTGACTAAATATCACATACCTGGGTGCAAACATCACATCCAAGTGTGCTTGCAGATATTCCTGTGGTAATTGAATATCATTATTTCAAAGGAATGTAGTTGTCGGTTTTTGAGGAACGTTGGGCATGAACAATGCAGGCTTTGTGATCTCGGTGTGAAATAGTGGGTCTGGAGGAGGATGCGTGGGATTGTGATTTATTTATTAATTGTATGTTTACTTATAGTATTACCAGTATTTGAAGTTTTGTCTCTTAGAAATGCTCACTCGACAAAAAAAAGAGTTCCATCTATAATAAAAAAATAACATCCTCATCTTGCACAACCTAATAGCTTCACTATTATAGTAAAAGAGTTGCTAAAATTGCAAATGCTCAACTATTATGATTTATTCACAGAAAATGAAAGTATTAATTGGAAAAATATCAAAATGCAACCATTATCTTGCAGTCTGGAGACATGCATTGCTACAGGAACAGGAACTGAGTTTGTTAGGTTTCAAGTGATTAAACAGCAAGCACAAACTCTGCAAAAGTGCAACTTTTTCTGGCATGCTTGGTGTCTGAGTTCACTCAACTCATTTTCATGAGTGTGGATGGCAACATCAACAGCCTGAAATATCAAGACATTTGTGCTGCCCATTACATTACAAACCACAGGGGAGGGCAAATTCTTCAGCTGGATAGCGCCCCTTCTCATACTTCAGCCTCCACATTAAAGTTTCTGAAAGCACAGAAGGTCAAGGTGCCCAGTCACCAGACATGAATATTATTGAGCATATCTGGGTTAAGATGAAAGCAGAGGCATCTAAGATAAACCCGTATAATTTTGATGAACTCTGGGAGTCCTGCAAGAACACTTTCTTTGCCATTCCAGATGACTTAATTATTAAGTTATTAAAGTCATTGCAGAGATGTATGGATTCAGTCCTCCAGGCTCATGAGACATACACAATATACATTTTTCCACTGCACCATGACTTTATATTCTATACTGTACGTTATGTCTGTTAAATGACAAGACTTTTGTCTAAGCAAAGTCAGACCTTACTGTCCTAATTAAATTATATATATATATATATATATATATATATATATATATATATATATACATATATACATACATACATACATACATACATACATATATACATATATATATACAGTATACACACATACATATATATATATATTTGTTTTGCTGTCATATACTAGAATTTGTTCATGTTTGGTACAGTTTTATTTGCAGTGAATAGTTGAACTGAACTATTATGCCTCATGTGTTTCATCAACAGTTTTATTCATCACTAAGATATGATTGACTTGGATTTAAGTTGCTTTGATTTAAATTATGAAAATCGAAAAAATAGCTTAAATGTAGGTACGCTACTTTTTCCAAGTAGCTTTTAGTTTAGCCTGCTACATTTCCCAGATGGTAACTTATAGTGTAGTTAAGCGACATTTTAAATAGAGTAGCTAATAGCTTAGCTCACTACATTTTTCAAGTAGCAGCCCAACACTAGCGATTTGTATGGTGAAACAGAGGCTTTCAGTGCTATCAGGCTAATGTTAGCATTTTCCAAGAAATCCTATTGCTCCATTACCCTCTTTCATTTTATTAAATTATTTATTGATTTTTTTTTATTATTCAATTTTTTATATCTGAATACCCTTAGACTGCCCTAGAAAACTATAATGCACTTTTTATTTCATTTTGATCTTTGTTTTAAAATGTTTATCCATGCTTGTAATTTTTTACGTTTTATGCAGATTCACTCCCCTACAAAATCCTCCCAAACAATCTAAATTAATGTTTTTTTTTTTCCAACTAGAGTTATTCAAGTCCTCTGAAACAGTATTCATCCTACAACATTTATTCAAAATATTGAGATTTTTCCAATATCGTGCAGTTAGTCTCGATAACGCCAGCTCGCACAGCTATTATATCAAGTACTATTCCCCGTGCACCAAAAAACAATGTGCGTTTTGTGTTGCAGACTCCTGGATGTTGGAGTGACGAGAGTGAAGAGAAAAGGAGCACACACCAGCGCTCAGCGTCCTGGGGCAGCTCTGACCATCTTAAAGAGGTACACAAACACACACACAAATACACACACTTCCACCAACAGCACAAAACACTCCCTTTTAACAGTGAAACACTATACGAAGTGTGTCTTGCGCACACAGCTGTGTAGTTTTTCCCCTTGGGTTTGGAGAACAAGAAAGTGCAATCACACTAACAGCTATTAACAGAGCTCTCACTGTCCTGAAAGTGATGAGCGCTGCACTTCTGCTTTTGCGATGATCTCATCCTGTGTGGCTTGCAATGTAGCCGCTCGTACTGGGGGAGGGAGGCGGTAGAAATAAAACCCCCGTAACCTAGCTCTGCACGAGGCTGCCAGTCACGACGACCCATCCGTCTCCTCCTGCACTAGCTGCTATATATAACTTCCTGTGTGGCTTCAGACTTCCTGCGCTGAGCGGAGTGTTATTGCTAGTGCTAGCCGCAGCAGAGTCAGCCTTATCACGGGTGCTCAGCTCCACCCTGACGATTCAGGGAACGGTGAGATAAGACTATATCTCCCTCTTTTTAACAATCAACTTCCCCTCTCTGCAACAACCATTATCCCCCTCCGCCCAAATTTATGGTTTTTCCATCGCCTCCAAGCTTCTGGAACAATGGAGATTCAAAGCAAGTTGTGTGTGGAGAGTCATGTCATGTGCGTCCTTTCACACTGAAGTCACATTCTTATCAGTTGGACGTTATATGTTGATGGAGAGTGCTGATCGTTGATGTGTAAAATCGTGTTTGATTTATGATGGCGGCCTGGTAGGTGTTGCTTGCTCTTCTTAGGTTTGACACAAACACAGTGCAGGTGCAATACTTCATTTCCTGTGCAAATCATCAAATTAAAGTGTGGCTCCTCAGATGTGCTTTCTGTCAGATTACACCAGAAAAACTTATATCGGTGTAATGATTCTTTAAACTAACAATTTTGATTTCATGATACAAGAAGACGTTATAGTGGCAGAGAGCGCTTAACATGCTGCAATTCAAGAAAACACATGCAATTACAAAAAAACGGCAGCAAATAGAGAAAATATATTCATCAGTTTGACAGCACAGGTGCTGCAAATCCTCACAACACAAACACTTTAAAAAACACGCTACATTTTTACACAACGCAAACGAATGAATAAAAAGTGTTGCATTTCTCACAATGCCAACAAAACACGGTAAAGCAAGACAAAGGAAATGCGTTGTAATGTCACTAAACAAGATTCCGCAACAATATGTGTGTTTGTGCTGTATAGTCCATGTAATCACATCATGAGCGACTTTAGCCGAGTCTGCGTGTGTATGTGTAATCACCGGAACTAGGAGCGTGTGTGTGTAAACGGTGCATGACTGGGTTTTGTAGTCCATGAAATGGTGGTAGTCCTTTGGCGATCTGCAGCCGCTATATCGCTGGTGATCATAGCACATGGCACAGTGGCGTCCAGGGCTTGACATTAAATTTTTTTTATCACTAGCTACTGTGGCTAGTAGATTTCCAACATCACTAGTCACTCGCCATTTTTACTAGCCATAATTTTGTTGTTGGAGAAAATATATTTTATATGCATAAATTTGACATTGGCATGTTAAAATTACTTAATTTACATTGTGTTATGTCTACATGCCACATTTTATTTTTATTTTACATTACTTTTTAGTGCTCAACACTAAGGACTTACCATTTTTCTTCTCTGACCAGACCAAACTAGTTATTTCCTGCCACAATTTTTTTTTTAAAAAGTGTCAAAACAAGCAAAAAGTATCTGTGTACACTACATACACTTTTTATTAACAACAGTGTTCTTAAAAAACAGTTGAATGAAAGGATGACCACATGCACATGGTTAACATTAGGCACAATATTTATCTATTTAAATATTGGTAAAAGCAAAAGTGGCTACAGCTGCTACCTATAAAAATTCTGGAGATCTCTTGAAAGCAGCAGGACAGTGGGTGCGCAAGCACTGCTTTTTCCCAATCTATTTCAAAGAGAAATGATCGCACCAGTTGCATTTCCAGGCACAGTTTTTTTGCGCAAAGAAACGGGAGCTTTTGAGCACTTGGTGCATCACATCAGCTGTGCCTCACTCACAACATCAGTGAGCGAGGATTGCCTATTCACGTCACTGTGCACCTGATCATCCTCTTATTCTGTATTTACCTGCTTTCTTTTGCTCACGCAAACAGTTATCAATAGTTCTGCTTCTCAATTCTAAGGGCACATTTGCAAGTATATTGACAAACGGTCTAAAACTAAAATTCTAATCTTTAGTGATGAGCCAGCACTGGCAATTTAAAAATGATATTCAACTAGCCAAGGTGGCTAGTGGAGGTGTTAATGTCAAGCCCTGGCGGCATCTGTCATGTTTTAGGGTCCCCTTAAAACAAACAGCACTGCATTAATGAAGACTACTCTAACTATGTATCCTACAGAGGCAAAATGAACAAATCTCTAACAACAATAATTTAACAGCCGCTTGGCCACACAGAAAAGCATAAATCTGAACATGAATATATTTACTGACGGTCAAGATGATTCGAAGTACCCAAATGAGCTTGCAATATTAGTTTCAGCGATTCTTACCTGGGATTATTACATGGCTGTTTGGAATATTTCATTCTGATTGGTCAGTCATGGCATTCCAAGGTACAGTATGATATCTCGAGATAACAACTGCTAAATAACGCAGGCATATTCAGGAACTTTGAATCATCTTGATCGTCAGTAAATACTGTATGTTCAAATCCATATACTTGCATCAACATTTATATGTGTTTGCTTGTGTGTCACGTGGTGGTTTTTGACTGTTTTGTGAATGAATAATAGCAAGGTCAGTGTATGCTCTATTCAGCTACATTAGTTTTGTTTCTGGCAGCTTTGCATTTCTACTGTGCTTCGCATAAAGCTGCTGATAAGCATGTCTGGCATTATTCTGTCATATTAACCTCCGAGATTTACTTTATCTTGCATAACATTCTTGGAATGTCATGACTGACCAATCAGAATATTTATAAATGTTACCATGTTGTAGCTTTTAAGTCTAATTCTCACAATGCAAATGATCAAGCGAAGCACTCAGCACAACATTTTTATTTTATAACTCTTTGAAAACGCTCAAGGTTCAAACCTAGCTCATTTTCAATCATTCAATTACATTCTTTTTGGCTTAGTCCTTTTATTAATCTTGAGTTCCCACAGCGGAATGAACCGCACATGTTTTACGCATCGGATACCATTCCAGCTGCAACCCATCACTGGGAAACATTAATACACACTCATTTACACATACACTAAGGACATTTTTAGCTTACCTAATTGACCTGTACCATAGATATTTACATTACATGTCGTCTACTCTGTTGTTGTCTATTTGAAGGAACACATCAATAAAGCCGCCATTTTAGTACAGGGTTGCGCTTCATTGAAAAAAAAATAATTACAGATACAATATCATCATACAAAGATCATTGAAATGAATGCGGGACCAAGCTGCAGTGGAGAACTGTGGCCATCCAGAGCCAGGAGTATACACATATATCTATAATCGGGAGTTTTCCCGGTGGTCATTGTGCATTTTTTTTTAAATTATGAAAATTATAATTTTACATCACTTTTCTACATTGATGGATAGAGTCTGCACGGGCATTAAGTTAATGACAATGAGCTTGTGTTTGTGTGTATGGAAATGTTCTATCCTCTCTCCCTGTTAAATTTGTTCTAATCCGTGTCCTGAAACACACCTCCTCTCGTGCTTTCACATCTCATTCTAACAGAGTGAATGATTTGTTTTGTGAGTGAAACTCTGTTATGAAGGACTCGTTCACTAGCCGACAATAATACAGGTTTTTAGCAACACAGCATCTTGTTGTCTCATTTCTTTTGCATTGTTTGCATATTTTATTCAACAAAACTAGCATAAGCCTAGTATTTAGTGCAAGTTGATGCTACTTTGCCTTATGATGAATGCAGTGACTTTATTACCATCAGTAATGTTACTTGTTGAGCACAAAAGTTCTTAACATACAAAAATGTAAAAAACTAAATCTTACCTATGACATTTTCTGCCTTTGTGCTTTGTTTTCTTTGTTTGCTCATTACTACACCCAGACACAGCGCTGAAGTCCAGCATCTTAACGTTGGCACACTGTCTGGACTAGTGCGGTTGAATGACATTTGTCCTGGGAGCACTGTACAAATGTGGTGGCTCTATTGACGCATACTCAGGGTCTGTATGCGATATCTAATGTATATATCTATGGACCTGTACCACATGGTTATGGACTGCTAACACTGGGAGAACATGCAAAGTCCACACAGAAATGTCAACTGACCCGGCCAAGGCTCGAACCAGCGATCTTCTTGCTGTGAGGCGACAGCACTACCCATTGCGCCACCGCATCTCCAGCTTATTTTCATGCTAGCTTAATTTCTATTTTCTGTTTATTAAACACAGGATTTCTTTATTTCCACTGGATTTGCAAGACAGAATTACAGTGTAAAATATACAGGTTATACCCAAGTGTGGTCCAAAGGTACAGCAAAGACTAGTGTCTAGTGTTTGGTACCTGAGTTTATTAAACTTCAAGCTATTTTTATTATTTATTTATTTATTTTTATTTTTTATGTAATTAATTAAAAAGGAATGAAAACTGATATGAAGTTGTCATTTCAAACTACAACTTGATTTAATCTTTGTTTATTCATGAATTAATATGCTTTAAATATAATTAATATTTCTTTATGTGGTCTTAAAAACTTATACAAGACAAAGTAATATGTCTAATAAGTATTATAAGTATTAAAGCATGGGATTTAATGCTTACATATTTGGTGTGTGTGTGTGTGTGTGTGTGTGAAAGCTTCATAAAAACTCTTTCATGAATCCATAATTTTGGCCACTTGCACATAATTCCCACTATATTTAAAGCAACAGCATTGTGTCCATATTTTTGTTCATCAACACACAAATAATAGAGACATCTTATGAGGTCATCACAGCAAGCTCATTCTGCAGGGTCTGAATAATCCTACTGTATTCCATGTGGGAGATTTTCCAAGAAATTGCTCTCTAGGCCTTCTTTCCTTTGCCTAAATAAATGGTAGGTTCATGTCCTCATTGTCCATACTTTTATCCAGGTCACGTCAAGTGCTTCCACTTAGTGGCTTATGATGACCTTTTACACCTCTTAAGTGGATTTAGGTTGTGTATATTGACATACTTAGCAGGGCTTTACAAGAGCACATTCAGGATTTCCCCTTGTTACCGCTGAACCTATATACTGTGTAATTTCAGTTAATGCGATGCCTGGCACCTCCGTTTTCCTCGCTGTCATTTGAAACACTGCATTTGTTTTCTCTTTTTTGGGCTCCCTGGTCAAAGGAAATGAAGTTCAAGTCATTTGCAGCATGTTTGCATGTCTTCACGGTTTGTAGATTTACATCTGCACTGTGTGACAAACAGAGGTGCTGTCGGCTGGAGTTTAATGTTCTGTGACATCAAGACAAACGTCCATGACAAGAAAGTGCCAAACTGTTAATTGTGTTTTCAGTAGGAAAGCACAAGTCTGGACTTGTCTCACTTTATACAGATAGACTGAAAAAAGCAGAAAAAATAAGCAAAAATAAACAATGAGTGCATCAGGCCAGATTGGGTCCCAATAAGACATGAGAGTTAAATAACAAATAGATTTGTATTTATTTATTTATTTATTTTTTTTTTTTTTTAGCCATTCTTTCTGCATAGATGAAGGACTGCATTTGTGTGTTGGTAAAGTACTTGAAAATTGTGTGCCTGGCTCAAATGGCTGCCTGTTTTGTACTGCCACCTTGTGGCCATGCGGAAATACAGAAAGCTCTCGGATCAGTTAAAGTTTTTGTTATATATATATATTAGTCGTGTCACAGATCACAAATGTCACGGTTCGGATCACACTACAGTTTTTGAGTCACAGACCATTTTTCAGGTCAGCAAAAAAGGAGGGAGACAAATGTTAGTTGCTTTCCATTTATACAAAAATATTACTGCAAAAACCATTGGTTTTAATAAACAGAACTTAAAACCTTTAATTTTAATAAAAATAAAAGTCAAGAAAGAACCAGCTGAAAAAAATTAATATTCAATATAAAAAAATATATTTGCTACTGTTATATACTGATAATGCTTACATCTTCATGTATTCATTTCCTTTTCGGCTTAGTCTGGAATTGCCACAGCGGAATGAACCGCCATTTTATCCAGCAAGTTTTTATGCAGCGGATGCCCTTCCAGCCCCAATAACCCACCTTTGGGAAACATCCACACACACTCATTCACACTCATTCACTACAAACAATTTAGCCTACCCAATTCACTTGTACAGCATGTCTTTGGACTGTGGGGAAACCGATGAACGTGGAGGAAACCCACGTGAACGCAGAGAGAACATGCTAACTCCACACAGAAACGCCAACTGACCCAGCCAAGGCTCGAACCAGGGACCTTCTTGCTGTGAGGCAACAGCACTACCTACTGCGCCACTGCGTCGCCATGATAACATCTTGTACAATCATATTTATTTTTAATTAAATATTCAACAATCCACACTTAAAACTTTGTTTCATTACAGGTGGATCATTTTTGAAAGCCTTTTCATTGACATAATTTTGACGGTTGTTTCTTGCCACCCGTTTATTACACAACATAATTGCTACAACGTTAACCAGTGTCCAGTTCCATTAAATTATTATTTTAATCTTTACCATAAATGTCAGTGTTTATATCTAAACTATAAATTGTTATCCCAGTACTTTTGTGTTATTTAATTGTTTGTAACTAACTGAAGAAAAAAAATTGGATTCTCTTTCGATTAAATGCAGATTTGAATGCAGTGCTTCGAAGAATTTGGAATGTTGAAGTAATGTCAGATGAACCTACAATTTAAAAAAAAAAGTTTTTAATCCTTAATCTTTAATTTTAATAAAAGCAGTTTTTAATTTTTTTTATTAACATTTCAACAGGTCAAAATTATTAGCCCCTTTAAGTTAAATTTCTTTTCTGTTGTCTGCAGAACAAACCATCAATATACATTGATTTGCCTAATTACCCTAACCTACCTAGTTAACCTAATTAACCTAGTTAAGCCTTTGAATGTCACTTTAAGCCACAGGTGTCAAACTCAGTTCCAAAAGGGCCGCAGCTCTGCACAGTTTGGTTCCAACCCTAATTAAACACACCTGATCACTAATTCAGTCCTTCAGGCTTGTTTGAAACCTACAGGTAAGTGTGTTGGAGCAGGGTTGGAACTAAACTGTACAGGGCTTCGGCCTTCCAGGAATTGAGTTTGACACCCCTGCTTTAAGCTGTCTTGAAAAATATCTTGTAAAATATTATTTACTGTCATCATGGCAAAGGTAAAATAAATCAGCTATTACACATGAATTAATAAACTATGTTGTCTAAACTATAAATGTGTTCTCTCCGTTAAACAGAAAATGGGGGCAAATAAACAGGGGGCTAATAATTCAGGGGGCTTAATAATTCTGACTGTACAACTAACTGTATAGTATAGGTAAATGTAAAAATTACACTGCAAAGTCAACTCAGCTTTGCATATCTATGCGATGTGACTATTGCAGATGCACACATTGTGATATCAATGTTAAAACAATATATTATGCAGCCCTGTTATATATATTAGGCATGGGGCGATAACCATTTTAAGGTACATTGCTGCTTGAAAAAGTCATGGTTTTAAAACTGGCAAAATTTTCTGCTATACCGTTCCTATGGTATATGTATTATTTTTTATTTACTTTTTTTAGGACAACAGGATCTCCAGCGGAAAAGATATCCAAAAATGCTGTTTTAAGTTGTAAATAAATCTGATTCAAAAAATTTTTGAAACTAATGAATATAGCAAAAGTCAGTGATTTATTTGAATTATTTATCCTGACATGTTTACTGTTCCAAAATATTATAAGTGTTTCTCAAAAAAACTAATTGTGTTCAAAGGTGAAAAAGTTTTTTTTTTACCCAGACGTTTAAAAAGAATATATTTTAGAGCAGTAATGACAATACCGTAAAACCGTGATATTTTTATCTAAGGCTATCATACCGTCAGAATCTTATACCGACCCATACCTTATATAGAAATAGTATATATAATATATATATTTTTTTATTATTATTACTTTTTTTTTTACATCCCAGCTTTAGTTCATTTGTAGATTCTTGTTCTGTCATTTTCATATTTCTATACAAAACTTTATTTTATTTTTTATTAGAGTCTTTTACTTATATCATGACTTTCTCATTTTTCTTTTATCTATTGCGTCATACACACATTTATTTTATTTTATGGCCCTGCTTGAGGTCTTTTCTGATTATTTCCTCTCCTAGCTGTGTATTATAAATTGATTTATTTTTAATTTCTTAATTTACATTTTTTTCTTAACTTAATTGAATTCTCATGCCCCTCTTTTAGGCATTTTATTATATTATATTTTGTTTGTTTGAGCCATAGCCTGACCTGTGTTTCTTTTTTTCTATCAATTCAAACATTTGATTATTGTTTTTTTTATCGTTATTTTTTCTCATCGTTTTTATATAAATTATTTTTATTTTGTTATGAGCTAACCTTTTATCTGTTGTCGAATCTGTCCTTCACTCTATAATAATTTTTTTCCTCTGTTTGTAATTTTCAGATTGCTAAGCTCAGGCTGCAGCTCCAGCGCAATAAACAGGGCGGAGGCCGGCAGTGTAAGGACAGTAAAGAGTGTCTCTCCCCCCTCCACTGCTGTACCAGCACCACCACCATTACTGCCACTACTATCAGCACAGCCAGCCAAGCACCGGTCCGCATACACACACACACACACACACACACACAGACAGCATCAGCACATTTATGAAATAGATCCAGCAGATTCTGACTACTTAATAAAAAGTGATCTTGTGCCTTCTGTTTGTACAGTCGTCCATGTCGAAGTCAGCACAGATGCCACTGTCCAACATCACAGTGCCAAAGCCCTCCATCTCCAGGGTTCCCAGCAGCATGGAGGGCATCAACCATGAGCTGGAGAAAGTCTTCATTAAAGACAATGGAGAGAAAGAGGAGCTAAAGGTACACATGAAAGAATGCATGAAAAACAATCCATAAATACCACCAGTGAAAATGCACAGACTCAACATAAATTTCCATCATATAAATGCAATAATATTATGTTGTACAATACGTTTTCTGTTTACTGGTTTTAAAGTTTATAGTTTTAATACTATACTATTTGTATTATAGTTTTAGAGTGTAATGTTTTCTTAAAAATATTCAGTGACACATTATTTTTCAAAAAGCATACTAATATGATGATTAGTTGTTCATGAAAGAGGAATTTTCTTATTATCCATATTAAAGGGCCGTGAAACCCCTCTGTCTCTGCAGGTTGTTTTCACACCTCTTGTTTGAAAAAAGTCAGGAAAGTGGGTGGTTCCAGCTTTGTTTAGGTTGGAGGGTCGAGTGGCGAGAGAGGGAAGGGTTTGCATGAAAAGGGGGAGTTTCATTCATGCACAACAGCTGATTTTCACACTGGTAACGCAAACACAGACGCTGGGGAGATAGACAGGGATTGGGAGAGCAGCATTTACAGTAGATCTGAAAGCTGTGTAGAAGTGGAGGATTTTCAGTCCATAATGTTGTAGTGATATTAATGTAAACTTAGTAACTAAATCATTTTGACTAAGGTATGTCTTTAAAAACTGAAAGAGTATTGCTGATGATATGAACTAACTTCACCATCTGAATAAACATAAGCAAAGAACATTGATCGCACAAATCCGTAGAGATAGAATAATCAGCACAAACTGGAACCGCGTCTTTTTTAAAAGGAGATGGGCTGCAATTTCACCATTTCCAGATTCAAAAAGCTCTCGGATAAAATATGTTCCTTACAAATCTATTTTTGTTGCGTGTTAGCAGACCACTGTAATCAACACATGTGGGTCCACATGCAAGCTGTACTCTAATCACGGGGAAATAGAAACAAAACCTTTGTTGCGGCACATTTGTAAATGCAACACTGATGACCCATCTCTCTAAACAATTCTTCTTCTTCTACATGTTTGAATTATGGTTGGCAACACATAGTAGGGTCTCTCTGAACACTGTAACAGGAAAGAGGAGTCTTCAAAGCTATATCATGCATATTAATGAAGTTGCATCTTGTTCACAATAGAGCGCACTGATTGGTTTGAGCTATGTCTTTCTCGTGAATTAATGAACAAATATGCTGAAATCTCAATGGCGTCACTTTGTACCGGCAGGTAGAGACAGGCAATCTCCATGCTGGAAATTGCTGTGACGTTGCTTCAAAATTTCTTTCTAAACCTGAAGAAAGAATTTGTTATAAACAACGCAAAAGCAACCAATTTTAACTTTTTAGTGAAACGTGCGTCCTAATAGTGTTTTTAGCAACGTGGAACATAAATCACTGTCAATATCTCAAAAAATGTGTTTTGGTGTTTTGTGGCCCTTTAAACACAGTGCTGCTTATAATGTTTTTTTTAAAACAAATACATTTTTTCCAGGTTTCATTGATAAATGTGTAGTTAAAACAAGCAGCTTTTATTTGAGCATGTTTTTTTTGTTGCAATAGAATTGACTATGTGGCAATTAATAAGTATTTTATTTTGGCCTCCAATAATTACAATGTAAAAAAAATCTTGCAATGTAATGGTAAAATACTTGCAGCAGGGTTTCCAGCAGTGAACCGTAATCCTACAGTTTCATTACCGTTTTCCAAACTACAGCTTTTCTGTGAATTAACGGTGAGATACTGGCATAATTATTATGCATTTCTGTGTGGAGTTTGCATGTTCTCCCCATGTTCGCGTGGGTTTCCTCCGGGTCCTCTGGTTTCCCCCACAGTCCAAAGACATGTGGTATAGGTGAATTGAATAAACTAAACTGGTCATAGTGTATGAGTGTAATTGAGTGTGTGTGGATGTTTCCCAATACTGGGTTGCGGCTGGAAGGGCATCTGCTATGAAAAACATATTCTGGAATAGTTGGCGGTTCATTCCTCTGTGGTGACCTCTGAAATAGAGACTAAACCGAAGGAAAATGAAAGAATGAACTAGATGAGGAACGTTCGTTGACAAATTTAAATGTTGGCTTGACAAACATAGGTTTGACAATTTTAAATAACTTTGAAGGTTTTACAGCTCAGAGAAAGTTAATAAAACATTTCTAGCTTGTTTAAAGTGAATTATCATGCTAGCATGAAATAGCATATTGCGTTATTCAAACATTCTAACAAATGAACTATTCAACGTTTGTCTGTACATACAGTATTTTAGAGTGCTCAACTGCAATATGCCCAAGTGACATCCTCTGGGGAATATTAAATAGACATATTATTTATTTATTTTTCATTCCTTTTAAACCCGTTTAAACACATTTTATTACACTTTTTATCATTATTTTTAATTCTTTGTTATTTTTACTTCTTATGTGTGTTGTATTTTATGTTTCTTTAATTCTTGTTATGTAAAGCACCTTAAATTACCATTGTGTATGAAATGTGCTAAATAAATAAACTTGACTTGCCTTGCTTTATGATGTTTAGGGTTTAGAAGGATTGTAAAACATACCTTTTAAAGACGTTTGGGTCTTTGTACACTGCAGATGTTTTCCAGAACAAGCTCTGATGTTTTTAAATGTCTTGCACTAGTAGCTTTAGTTAATGTTTTGAAGACTCGACAGTCTCAATTTTATTCAGTCAGACAGTCTTTACTGTATAAAGATGTATCTGAGGAGGAGGATAAATAGGATTTTAGCATGTTGACTTGCTAAAATGGCTAAAATAAAATATTGTATCTATTATTATTATTTTTTAAAACACCTCTTATTTTAGCATTATCAAAAAAAAAAAGACTTGTAAAAAAAATAATAAACCTTTTGATTTTTTTGCTGCGTTTCCTCCAGTTTTTGTACATTAGTGTCATCACAGAACATCTCTCTGTCCTACTGTCATACAGGCACTGGAGGTTCCTGACGGACGAAGGGCTCCATTTCCCCCTCAACAGCGCAGCAGCAGTAGTCGTGGTATAGACACTCAGACGCCATCAGTCCCGGGGCGCTCCAGCAGCTGCTCCAGCTTGTCACCCTGTCCATCGCCCGCATGCCCACCACGCTCACATGACGGCAGCCCGTACTCCACCGACGAGATGCTGGATGACAGAGATAAAGGTTAAACCTAAAGACCACTGTTTAAACATGATACTTGCCCAACATTTAAAATAGTTGATATTATAATTTGAATTAATTTAATACTGGTGCACGGTTGAGAAAAAACATAAATATAAATCCCACAAGTGTATAAGCAGGCCTGTGAGAGAAGACCTACAATGGCAAGTATTGGGCTAACGCATTAAAGCTGATTCATACTTCCGCGTCAAACGCCGGCGTATGCTACGCGGTTGGCGTCGCTGACGTGCACCTTTCAAAAGTTGTAACTATACGTCGCAACGACGCGTAGCATAAGCTCTGTGAATGGTGGGCTTGGTAGCGCTGACGAGTCTGGGCGGGACCGAAAGCCCCGTGAATGGTGCGAGCCTGATGGAGCGATTGTTTACAAGTGTGGAGTCCCGTGAAGGAGCTCCGGATGGAAAGTTTTGTTTTGTGTTTACCTCATAGTTAAAGTTGGTGCACGTCCGCCGGTTCCTGCCTCAAAATGAGCGAGTTTGAGCCACTTGTACATTCCGGAAGTGTTCAGGAAAAGCAAAACAACAGCGAAGAAACTCGACACAGAGGAACATTTACACCTCACTACCAACTAGCATTTCAGAAGCGTTAATGCAGACCAACAGAGACAGCGCGCAGAAGTATAAATGCACAGCTGCGCACGTTGCATTTGAAGTATAAATCAGGCTTTACAAGTAACCCGAGTAACGTAATAAGATTACTTTTCTAAGTAACGAGTAAAGTAACAAATTACCTAAAAAAAATTAAGTAATAATATTTGAGTTCGTTTTTTAAGAATGTAACTTGAGTTACTTTTTTAGATTAATTAATACGCTTTTGAAAATAATTTCCTGAATTAAAATTAGTGTAATCACGTTGAATCATACTCAGTGAGAAAATGAGCTCCCCGCGGGAACAGACAAAAACCAAGATAACAGAGTCTTACATTTCTGTGATGGAAGTATTCTCATTGTTTTAAACACATGGAAGTAAAGGGGATAGTCTCAATGGACATTACTGAACTAATAAGACAAAAATACAAGAGTAGCAAACGCATTACTTTCAACTTTCATTAATCTGTATGTTTAGCATCAGTAAGTTCTCCAAAGGTAACATTATTCTAATTTTATTGATATGTTTTTTTAAAGGTTAATGAAGGTGTATGTTGTACAGTGTGTTGTTAAATGCCGAGCTCTTCTATTAAAAAAAAAAAAATACCCTGCAAGTTCTGTAAGAGATCGAGTCTCAAGCAGCTATGAAAAGTAACTCAAAAGTAACGTAACGCATTACTAACCATAAAACATAACTAAGTAACGCAATTAGTTACTTTTATGGAGAGTAACTCAATGTTGTAATGCTTAACTTTCCAAATTAACATTCCTCAACACTGCTCATGGCACCAGCGTCTCATTTAGTAGCACAGCAAATGTAATATCAGTACTAATTGAGGTAATTGAAACTGTAGCTAAGTTTAAGTTAAAAAATCATTAATTCATTAATTTTCTCTTCGACTCAGTCCCTTTATTAATCCGGGGTCGCCACGGCGGAATAAACCGCCAACTTATCCAGCTCATGTTTTACGCAGCGGATTCCCTTCCAGTCGCAACCCATCACTGGGAAACATCTACACACACTCATTCAGACTCATACAATACGGACAATTTAGCCTACAGAATTCACCTGTACACATGTCTTTAGACATATATGCAGACATGCCAACTGACCCAGCCGAATCTCGAACCAGCAAAAAGAAAATATTAATATAAAAAATTATTTAAACTGTTAAAGAAGTAGTTTGCCCACAAATGAAAACTGGCCTGATATTTACTCAACTTACTAGACCATTATTAGTTTATTTTTATTTTTTTGATGAACACAAACAAGATGATTTGAACAATGTGGGAAACCTGTAGGGATTAACATAAGTAGTAGGCGGTGAGATAAAAATGGTAACCAAAGATTACCAGTTTTCACCAAAAAAAAAAATAAAATAAATATTCCCTCACTTGTGCAGAACATTACATAACATTAGAACCTCACAGAACATTAAAAAATGACTGAAAATTTTTAAAACCAACAGAAATTGTTGTACCATTTACTACAAAGAACATTTATTTTAAAATTCTAGCCTTGATGAATTAAAGCAAAAAGACAAATTGGGAATGCATTATATATTTATTCATTAATATAATTTGCTATAATGTTATTTGTATGCTTTGGATGATTAACATTAATTGTCTTACACGCTAGATTTCATGCACAACATTTTTTACTGTAAATGTTAATGTGTGTTTTCAAAAGTACAGTAGTTCTAAAATCATTCTAAAATTAAAACGATCCACATTACAACAATTATTATATTATATTATATTATATTATATTATATTATATTATATTATATTATATTATATTATATTATAGTAAGGCCTTATACTGTTATAACAATTATAGAACATATAAGTGGTTTATGAGTGGTTTTATTAGAGGTTTAAATAGTTATGTGGCAATATTATATGCATAATAGGCATACAATTTTACACAATGGTAAAAAACTTAGATTTTTTTTTTAATTACACTTCATAAAAACTTTCTTTGTACATGTCATTAGTGTCTTTGTACTGCCCATTAGTGACGATGTACCCCTTATTAGCATAGGTATCCCTACGCAGTACCTGGCAAAAATGTCAGAGATAAAGAGGCATTATAAATTTTGAGTTTTAAGATGCACAAATGAACGGCGTAGCCTCCATAGACTGCCACTATCTGAGCTGTTTCTATTGACAGTTTTTTTTTTGTTTTTCTAAGAGACTACATTAGTAAAACATGCATGTAGATGTTTTTAACCCCGCATCCTTTAAAAAAAAGGGCTGGTAACACAATCTCATTTAAAATTAAAGCAACAGTCACCAAAACAGCATAGTGTGGATCAAAAAAAGGAGCAGTTTCAAAAATTATTTGTGGAGAATTTTACCCAGAAACTTCACATACACACTCAAGGAACTTCAGAGATTCATTTTACATCTCGTAAAACGGGGCATAATAAATTTGAAGCGATACTAAGCAACTTTCTCTTGCAGCTTCCCCTTTTGGTTGAAAGCACAATTTCCTGTTACCAACAAAGCAAATCACACAGAATTCAGCAGGATTCATCTACTTAAAAGTTATTCTACCACCAATATAATTTGTTACATTATTTTAAGGTTGAAAAACGTACATGCTGCTGCTCTAATGAATGTAGGCATTTAAAGTAGTGCACGTCATAACCGAAGAATGGGCTTATAATAAAAATAAAGTGATGATTTGTTAATGTGGATGCTCATATTGTTACTGTTTTCATTAAACTAAGCTTAATTGTGGATTTGTGTTTGTATTCCTGCAGACAGTGGCAGCAGTTCTCCTCTTCCTAAGTTCGCTTCATCTCCAAAGCCCAACAACAGTTACATGTTCAAACGGGAGCCTCCAGAGGGCTGTGAGAAGATCAAAGTCTTTGAGGAAATGACGTGAGTAGAGTTTTATTTCTGTAGTAAGCCTAAAATAGCACACTGGTGTTCAGCATGTATAATGTGAACAGTATGCAAATGCTGAAATTTCTTTCTTCACCTGCTACAATTTCTGAAATGTTTGGTTTAATTCCAGAATGCAGAATGGGATGCTATATGACACCATTTTCTTTTAATTTTCCATAGCAAATGTAATGAATTATCTAGAATGACTTTCATTTTATCTTTTAAAACAATGTTTAGTGGGTTGCTGGATACAAGACATTGAAAACATGCTAAATTAATTTTTAAATTGTAGTTTTACACTATTCTACAACTACTATTGCAGTATTCACAGACGTTAGTCCATATCATGATTTGATTTTGGATGCTGTAGTTTTGATTTATTCATCAAAGGTCTGTGATATTCGGTGCTATGCTGTACAGTAAATTCTATATTCTTTTAACCATTGCCAGGTCTTGTGATCCATTATGAAAAACATAGGGCTATACAAACCAAACTGACCAAATAAAATCTTCATTTTGATTTTTTGAAATGATTTTAATTAGATTAGTAGTTTTTTTTTTTTTTTTTTTGTAACACTTTACAATAAGGTTGTAATAGTTAATGTTAGTTAAAGAGCCCCTATTTTGCATTATAAAAGCTAATATTTTGGTTTTGGGGGTCCCCATCAACAGGCTGATATGCATGCAAGGATATAAAATACTTTCATTGTATTTTATATGCATTTATTTTAACCCTACGACATGATTTGTTTAGCCATTCATTTGTTCCCAAACCTCTCTTTTGCTTGAAGCCAATCAGCGCTGATTGATTTAATGACCCAGTCTGTTGTAATTGGTCGACTGCGTTCAGCGTGAGACAGAGAGAAATGCCCACCATGGCTATGAAGTAGCACAGAGTATGTGAGAGCTCACTGCAGGAATGCAATAAAGCAATGCAGTTAAACACCAGCATATTACTCTACTCTTAACCCTAACCACAAGTATAAGCAATGACACACATTCAGCATTAATCGACACTGTGGCAAAAGTTTAACTATTTTGAAAATTGACCGCACCACACATTTTTAGGAACAGCTAATGGTGGCCATAGCAAAGATTAGCAGCAGAGGATCGAGAGTTCAGAAACACATTTAATTCAGTAAAGGAAGAAGCATGTGCCACATTTTTAACATGGTTTTGGATGCAATATGTGAATACCCCATAAAGATTTATTTTGACAGATACACTACAAGGACTGATCTATAAAAGATAAGTGATTACAAGCCTTGTGGAGCGATTACAACTTATAACACGCAATTAAACACATATTTTGCAAACTACACAAAACGAGGCAACAGTTTTGATTACACTGACATGTTATGATCCGGAGAAAGAAGAAACTGTCCATATGAACTGTAACAGTTACTGATAAAGTCCCTGTCAATATCTTACATAGTCCCATACATAATAGTCTCTGAAAAATGATTCAAAGTTATTTTACCACCGATATAATTTTAAGTACATTATTTTAAGGTTGAAAAACGTACAGGGTGTTGCTTTAATGATCAGAAAGTAGTGCACTGAAGAATGAGCTTATGATAAAAGGAATGTGATTATCTGTTGATGTGGATGCCTATACTGGTACTGTATTTATTAAACTAAACTTAAATCAGGTTTTATTATTGAAGGTTATTGAAATTTTTGTCATATTGACACACTGCCTCTTTCATCTGTCTGATTTTTGCATTCGAAAAAGTGATTTGAAGTGAAGTTTCACAAACTTAACTAGAGGAGCATGTGATATGATTGAGCACTCATCTGTAATCAGTAATAATCCAATCAGAGTGATCCAAGCTTTTTATAAATGGATGGTTTTCTTCCTACTGCTCTATCTTCGTTTTGGAAGAATCCCGCCTTTCACCCCATCTCCTCCTTTTCCTCCCTTTTTAATGGGGAGCTATCGAGACCTACCTGATCTCGGATCTCCTTATATGCTTATTGACCGGGCAGGAGCCTTGGACATAAGTATCTCCAAGCTCAGGGTTCTTTCCTAGGACAGCATGCCAAACCTGCTATAAACGCTAAGCATATCTAAGTGGGAACTCTTGAAAAGTGTTTTGACAGTTCAGAGCCACCTTACAAGTAAAAAAGCTAAATACAGAATGCCGTCATTTGAGCTACAGATAACTTTATAATAAACACAGTGCAAAACAAAAAGAAAGAATGTGGCGGACAGTTGAGAACGTTCGAGGTTACTAAAGTAACCCTTCGTTCCCCTTCGGGGGAAACTCCACCACTATAAGTGGATTTGATTGTAAAATCCACACATTGGGAGGTTCGGTTCAGAAGCTACTCGTCTGAAAGAGTATTGAACGGGCCAATTAAGAATGAATTGGCAGCGCAAGCCTGCGCAGGTGAGCGGTATAAGCAATCAACTGAGTATATAAGCTCACCTGGCGCCAGCAGACGCTATCCTTTTTAAGCTGAAGAGACTTTTAACAGCTAAGGGACAGTCATTATGGCGACGGAGTATAGTGCTTCCGTTCCCCTCCTCGGGGAACGAAGGGTTACTTTAGTAACCTCGAACGTTCCCCTTCGGGGGGAACTCCAGCGCTATAAGTGGATTTGATTGTAAAATCCACGCATTGAGAGCCCATTGAAAGCGCCATAATGACTGCACCTTACCAACACCCACCATGAGAGAGCGGTCAGGCAAGCGTGACGCACCCAGATCACGAGAGGCGTGGTCCTCCAACGTGCCCTTGTCCCTAACTTATCCTACTTCAAAAGAAGTTTTACGGAATAGGTATCTTTTTTGGGAGTCGCTAGCGTCTAGATAATTCTAGGAATACACGACAGTACGTTGGGAAGCGTGCCATCCCAGTAGGGAGGACGCTGCGGAGACCATCCGCACCCAATAGGGGGAAACAAATGGAATTACATATGGACTAACCCTGAGAAGGGGGAGTGCGCATAAGAAGGTGGTTAGCAGATAGGGAAAGCACGGGTCCGCCCAGGGGGGGAACCTAACCGTGGCGAAAAAGCATATGGGGATCACCAGTGGGGATCGGCCATAGCAGGCACCTATACCCAAAACGCGGGCTGACCAGCGGGCAGACCTACAACTTTACTGACAGACAGGAGGGTGCACATCTCTCCGTGTTAGGGAAAAAAAGGCACCGCAAGCGTGTACAACACCTACCGAGTTGTTTCCTCAATCACCAAAGGTATCTAACACCCTTGAGGAAACCGGCTCCACTCGCAGATTATAAAATCTTGCAAATGTGTTGGGTGTCGCCCAGCCCGCAGCTCTACAAATGTCTGTTAAAGAAGCGCCACGCGCACACGCCCAAGAGGATGCAACGCTCCGAGTGGAGTGCGCATGCACTAATGGGGGGCGCGGCTGGCCTCTGCTCAAATAAGCACATGAAATGGCCTCCACAATCCAGTGGGATAAACGTTGTTTAGACACGGCACTTCCCTGCTGCCGTCCACCATAACAGACAAAGAGCTGCTCAGAAGATCTAAAGTTTTGAGTACGGTCCACATAAATGCGCAGAGCGCGAACTGGACAAAGTAAGGACAGGGCTGGGTCTGCCTCCTCCGGGGAGCAGCGCTTGCAGGGTTACTACCTGATCTCTAAAAGGAGTGGTAGGAACTTTGGGCACATAACCCGGGCGGGGTCTCAGAATAACGTGAGAAAATCCCGGCCCGAATTCCAGGCACGAGTCACTGACCGAAAATGCCTCCAGGTCCCCAACCCTCTTAACGGAGGCCAATGCGACCAGCAGAGCTGTCTTCAGGGACAGAAATCTTAAAGATACTGTTTCGAGTGGCTCGAAGGGATCAAATCACAGGCTCGTGAGAACGAGGGCGAGATCCCAAGAGGGCGTGAGAGGGGGGCGAGTTGGATTAATTCGCCTAGCGCCTCTGAGGAACCGGATGATGAGGTTATGCTTTCCCACGGTGCCGCCAGCCACCGCGTCATGGTGAGCGGAGATGGCAGCAACGTAAACCTAGAGAGTGAAGGGCGACAGCCTGCTGTCCAGCTTCTCTTGAAGGAAAGAGAGACACTGATCTGGCAAGATCGGGGGTCTTCTCTGCGAGAGACACACCACTCAGTGAATAGACTCCACTTCAGGGCGTAGGCGCGCCTCGTGGAGGGGGCTCTAGCCTGAGTGATGGTATCAACCACCGCGGGCGGCAGGTTACCTAAGTCTTCCTCGCGTCTATGGACCACACGTGGAGGCTCCAGAGATCGGGACGAGGGTGCCAGACGGTGCCTTGTCCCTGAGAAAGTAGGTCCTTTCTCAAAGGGATCTGCCAAGGGAGGGCCGTCGCGAGGAGGGAGAGCTCTGATATCCAGGTTCGGTTGGGCCAGAGGGGCGCAACTAACAAAACCTGCTCCTCGTCCTCCCTGACCTTGCACATTAAGTGCGCGATCAGGCTCACTGGGGCAAACGCATACTTGCGTACGCCCCGAGGCCAGCTGTGGGCCAGTGCATCCGTGCCGAGAGAGCCATCGGTCAGGGAATAAAACAACTGGCAATGAGCGTTCTCGGGGGAAGCAAACAGATCGATCTGGGCCTCCCCGAATCGTGCCCATATCAGCTGGACAGACTCGGGGTGGAGTCTCCATTCTCCAGAGTGAATCTGCTGCCGTGAGAGCACATCGGCTGCACGGTTGAGCATACCTGGGATGTGAATGGCGCGCAGCGACTTCAGCCGCGGGTGACTCCAGAGGAGCAGACGGCGGGCAAGCTGAGACATGCGGCGAGAGCGCATACCCCCCCATGCGGTTGATATACGCCGCCACCGCCGTACTGTCCGTCCTGACCAGCATGTGTTGCTGCCCCAGCGCCGGAAAAAAAACGGCGGAGAGCAAGGAACACTGCCAACAGCTCTAGGCGATTGATGTGCCAATGCAGCTGGGCACTTACCCACAGGCCCGCAGCTGCATGCCCGTGACACACGGCTCCCCAGCCTGTGCTGGAAGCATCTGTCGAAACAACAAC